GGAAAGAGACAGAGAGACAAAGGGGGAGAATAGTACAGAAAATGAAAAAGAAATAAGAGAGCGTGCCAAGAGTGTTGGAGGACAAACTAAAGAAAAACGAAAACAAGGGCTTTAGAACATAAGAGAAAAAGAGCAACAGGAGTGAACAATACTAAACTATGCAGGTCATTCCAACCCTGCAAATCCCTGCTCTGTGGAGACTGTGCTGCCAGATGGAAAGGCCAGAAGGTGTGTGAGAGAGAGGAGGGTGCTAAAGGAAAAGGTGGCAGGGGTATGGTGTTGTTGTCCTAACCTTGAAAAAGCCGATGATGCCAACTCCATATTCCACACAGTATTTGTCGAGCAGCTCTCGGTTCCAGGCATCCAAATTCACGTACTTAAGAATGTTCTCATAAATCACAAGTGTGAAACGCCCTCGCTCTTTGTCAGTCAATGTGGGCATGTCACCTTTACCGGGAGAGATTTCAGTCCGGTACCTAAACCGACCAGACTCCAAAATGGCCACAATCTCTTGACCCAGTTGGGAATACTGGCTTTCCACAAACACAAGTACCACGGGATCTGTCCTAATGCCACTGCTATCGACCCCAGGCCCCCCTGAGACACCCCGCAGGGGTAGCAGCCGTGATGGCATAACTCTCGAATCATCCGAGTCGGCTGAGGCACCCTCAGCTCCTGACACGCCCCCTCCTGATGGTTCCAGCTCGCGCTTGGCGCCATAAAGGAAGTAGGCCGAGATGAACACGCTGATGGTGCAAAAGAGGAAGAGAATGAGGAGGGAGGTCTGTAGGGGGAGGAAACGGACCAGCCGACGGAGGCGTGTTACGCATCCCAGCATCGTCTCACACCACACCGCTCCTCCCCACCAGCCCTGCAACACGCCCCGGGGCAGTCTCTCTCGATGTGGTATGATACTGCTGTCAGAAGTAATTCACAAAGTCAATCTTGGTAAAGACTTTTCAAACGACACTAAAGTAGCAGCTGCAGCAGCTCCAGGAGAAAGAAAAGCGACGGTCTCATATTGGCTCTCCCTCATATTGCAGCTCTGCTTATGTCACCATGGCAGAGAAATTCTGGGTCTCGGACCGTTGGTACACACTTATTCCTCAGAGAGAAGTCTGACAGGCCCAGTCAGTGGTGCAGAAAGATGATGGAAGACTCCATCACCTGTCCATCATGTAAACCTGCCATCCATGTACAGACTAAATTTTTGCTGCACTCTTTTGATTGGAGAATGATCTCATGAGAAAAGGGAGGTCACAAAGGGCATCTCAGTCACACCATTCACCCAGGAAAACTCTGGACCTAGAAAAAAAGACAGAGACACAAAAGAAAATGTTTAGATTTGGAAGCAAAGGTCCAACTCCAAAAACATTGCATTTTTCAAAAGGAAACAAACATAAACCCACTCTCTAACCTGTATATACACACACACACACACACACACACACACATATATATACATATATATAACAATGTGTTTATTTTGTAGTATATTCCTGAATGCTCCACTTTAACAGTGTGTAAGAAATATGTGCAAACTAGCATTGCTAGCTCTCGAAAAGTTACCTCCAAACTAGACTTGGTGCATTCACCTACACAATGTATAAAGAGCCAACATCACCCCTACACAACAACACCTCACACCCTGTACAAACACACACACACAGACGCGAAACAGAGAAGAAAATATCACCCACTCATGCTGCCTCCGCACAATCAATAAGCAGACTGTGAGTGACAATAAAGCCTTGGGGCAAAACAATTCTCAGTCCAGTGGTGAAGCCATCACCTGCAGGGACAGTCAACTTCTATTTCCCTAAAGTCCTCATAGTACTTTGATGGAAATGGAAGGCAGAAGGTGGGAGGAAAACAAAGTGATCCAAGAGCAGAGGAGTGGATCACGACGACAGATAAGCCTGGCACCAATAGGCTCTGTTACTCTGGGGAAAAAATGGATATCCTCACTCAATACAGTGTGAGGTACCGAGACCCCCTGCGGACATACAGTAATATATCAGCCATTTAGTTAGTCCTTGTCCAGCTGAGTGTGAGAAGTCGCGGATAGACTGTGAGAGTAGTGTTAACTGAGCCACTTTAACAAAACACCACTTCTCCATTTAGAAACCTCATGGAGCAAATAAGCATCACTACCCTTTTCGTTAAAATGCTCCATTTCTTAGGCCGTGTTGCCATAGACCACAGTGTGACCCCATGCATGCTTGTGCACAGACGCGTGCACTTTTATAGAACCCCAGATAACACATTAGTCCAAAGTCACAACCCTCTCAAGCCAAAGACATTATGCTGTGACCACAAACCCCATAAAGACTCTTTAGGCACAAACCAGACATAAACCGGATTTGATAATGCCATCAGAGGCTTTATGAGTAACACAATGAACCAAGGTTTAACTGAGGCTGAGTAACATTAAAAATACAAGAGTGGCCTAGTATGCTCAACAAAGTGAATCTTAAAGCCAACTGTCAACCATCTGTCAGCTCCATAGTCAATAATTTATTGATTTATCATTTTTAACACAGCTTCATCACTCCATACTGTAAATTAAAAAAAAAAGTGTTTCTGTGCTCTTATACTTTTCCAGCTGAGCTCAACAGGATGTTTAAATTTTCTCTCGGAAAGAAAATGTCTTCTTTTTCCTAGAAACTTTCATAGAAGTATCCTCCCAGTGAGTCTAAAGCAAAGACTGGACGAGAGAAAACACAGCCAGTCTTCAGAGAATGTATTACAATGCAACAGCATTGGACGCATAAAGGTCCCCTGGTGCCTTGTTTGTTCATCTCAGTGAAAGACATGGTTTGTGCCATGGCATACCAACGTATGATTAGCCACAGGAACTGCCTGCTGCTCAAAACAAAGAAAAGAAAAGAGGAGAAATCTTTAAAGGTGTTCTTCAGCCCAAAATAGGTCAAACAAAACCATATCATAATTTTACAACTTAGCAACTTAGAGAAGCATGTGATACTTATCAGCATTAATTACGTTCCTGTTTATATGATAGGAAATGAAATCACTGTGTTCTGAAATAAAAATGTATCAATCTGCTTTTCTATATCACTGACATGTTATCTTGCATTTACTTCACAGTTCCACTTTCCGACTGTGCAATTGCTAAAAAAAAATCAAACCTTTGCCAACTGCATCTTATTTACATCCAAACCCAGTGTAGCTTGGCAAAATCAGCTGATGCTAATATTTGGCTAATGTGTCAGGACATGTTTCACAGAGGCTGTGTATGGATTACTGACTTCCTCCCACAGTCTCATTTCTTAATCTCCTGCCAAAAGAATACTTGTAGGCTTCAGCACCAACGCTGGGCAGCTTTGGCTGATTGGCATAGATACTAAAATGAGCAAAGTCTTCTAAAGTTTTCAGGTAACAATGTATGAGGTGTGATTCAAAGTTCACAAATCAACAATCTTGAATTCTGAAGTCTTCATATCATTTCTTGGAGTAACGAAAGAGCAGCTAACTGGTTATTACAAAAACTACACGGTGAGAATCTAATGGAGGTTGGCATGAACTGAGTAGGCATTGCACAGAGGAGCAACATGGCTACATTTCTCTTTCAAAATAAAATTTAAGAAACAAATATAACTTTGAATTTGTGAGGAAGTGAAGGGTCCAAGTACATCTCCTGGTCAGGGTGGACAACATTCAGATGTTTTATCTTGATTTGTCATATTTAACCAAAATATGTACTGTATGCATGAAGGCAGCTGCATGTATGAAGTAATACCTAATCACATGAAGCAGTGGAGTGTGCAGATGTTGTTCTACTTGCCAACAAATGCAGAAGGACTGTAAGGATTGTTCATGACTGATGATTGACATAGGAGTAAATTAAAGGGTAAAACAATGTAATCAGCAGGTTCACAGAAGAGCATCTCACTTCCTTCCCATTTTATAACAATATTGACACAGTCCCAGGGCTGATATTCAGTCTGTGATACAGAACACTGCAGCTGAACTAAAGAAGGAAGACAGGGATTGTGGCCGATGGCCAGAAGAGCTGACGGTGAAAGCTGAAGTCCTTAAATGTGAGGCACTAAGATCAGGCTGGCTAAATAGAGTCCAATACATTAGACTTTAATGGAATATCGCATAGACTGAACAGAATAATGGCTAATGGATCTCAAATGCCTGTACATCTATCTCACCTAATGTGTCTTTTACTTTATGTATCCCTCACAAGAAGTAAGGATACAACCACCGGCGGTTCCTTGATCCTTCAAAATAATGGATGCAAAAATAACAGAGAATAGCAGAGAACAGAACATAAATGTTTCATGTTTAGCAAAAAAACCAATGCAGGATAAATCCAGCAGACGTATCCATGACGTAAAGAGCAGCCAAAATGTGTGCAGAGACCCATGTTTCAGTCTGCCAAGGAGAATCAGTGTCTCAACTCATGCATAAAGGAATGGCAGATGGAGACTAATGTGTGTCTCATAGGCAAGCTTTTCTTACTCTCAATGATAGAAAGAGCTCAGATGGAACATGAGCTTTGAAATTGCCTTTGGCTGTGTATAAGGTGGGCATGGTCTTTTGGTTTGAAAAGAGTCATCAACAAGGAAGTAGCAGCTTCATTGATTGGCTGGCCTTCAGGGAGCTAATCCACTGGTAGCTGACATATGTCAGTTTAAATGAATGTCTGCGGCAGAATGTTACCATAAAACTATTAAACAATTATTATTTGCAGAATTATTATTATTTTTGAACCACCATTAAACAAGTCTGCCACCATAAACATTTATTCCTGTACATACCAGGTGCTCATCAATCTTCAGATTTGTTTTGAATTTTGTAACCTTCAAATTTTAGCACAGCTGAATGATGGTGACAGAATGGGGTGGCAACATAAACAATAGCAGGTTGACGGCAAAGAGGACAGACCGTTGCCTTTCCTCAGGGTGGGTGGTCACTCAAACCTGCTCGCACGACATAATGGGAAGCTGGCCAGAACCAGTGCTAGATTAATGAGTGGGGAACAGGAGGATGACGCCTGGTCCTCAGCTGTAACAACTCTCTGGATAAACAATGCTAAAGTTGGCCATATGTAGCCTCACACAACCTGGCCTCTCCTTTCTCTCTACACCTCTCTCTCTCTCTCTCTCTCTCTCTCTGTCACTGTGCTTGCACTCCTAAAAGTGTGAATTAGACTAAGTGTCCTAAGGCTTTGTAGGGGGAACCCGTGCATTAACACTGACAGCCAGAGTCTGACTAACTGCAGGTGATCCCTTCAACAAATAAACTAGTAAGAGAGTGCGAGGTCCTTTCAGCCCCTTGGGACCTGGCTGTTTCTCCCCCTTTCTGCCCAATACCCGATCGGTCGCCTCACCATTGACTGAAGGAAACAAACGACGTCCTTCTGTGTTCAATCACCAAAGGCCGTGGTAACCACACATTCTCCATGGAAACACTAGAGTGGGTTAATCAAGGAAGGGAAACTATGCAGAGACATATTGAAGAAGACAGTTAATACATAGGACACTTTTCTGTCTGCATGTAAATGCATATGCAGATGATCACAGTGGACACAAACCCTGGAGACTCATTAGAAGATCTACAGTCCAAATGATCTCACTACAAAAAAGCGCAGACATCTTGTTTGTATTCATTGCCAAACAAATGTTCCAGGGCTTTTGTGCAAACACTCAGATCTGCAAACACCAAAGCAAGTCCAGGCTCACCCTGTGAATAGTTTCAGTGGGGCCACGGGTCAAGGTTAAACCGGTAAGAATGGAGCCAGTGTATTTTTCTAATCTGTAATCCTGTTAATCTCAACACTGCAAACAGCTAAATGTGCTTATGCCAGCTGTGTTACCGTTTCAGCTGCCATTAGAGGATTAAGAAACAAGAAACTACAGCAAAAAGGAAGTGAGACCTTAACACTTTAGGAGAGGAAGAGGAGCTAACCCCTCACCAAAAAATGAGGCTTCGATTTATAAAAATGGAACTATGTAGTTTGTTTGTAAAGATATTCTACCTTTACACTTGGAATGGAATTGGAATCCATTTTCATAATTATTTTGAAGCTATTTTAAATCAACAAACAGGCACATGAGAGTAGCTGAGATTCGGCTTCTATAAGAGAAGTTTCCTTTCCTTGTATTGAACACCTGAGGCATTACTCAATACAGAATCAATCAATCTTAGATTTAAATTCCTTTTCATGCTTCAATTGTGGTAGCTGCGATTAAAGGCTTAAGCCTTGAAAAATCCTAAACCGTGGTGGTGGATCATCACTACTCCTTCTGCCTCCCACCCATCGGTATATCTGAATGCACAAGCAGGCAGTTTCATTTAAGCTGCTAACATTTACACTGGTGCTTTCCTCTCCCTCTGTCTCATCAATTCATTTCATGCCACTGCATGAAGGACAGAGGAATCAAGAGGGAAATGCAGTTTTGCCTTCTAATTCTGAAAAAAAAAAGAAAACAACTTTCAGACCATTGCCTCTATCCAACCATGTGACTGAACTATCACATTTTTCACTACCTCAATTTTCTCTCACCAAGAGAGGTAATTTCACAGAAGAAAAATACCTTTCTTTGAATTGCCTGTGCACCTCCAATAACATGCTTTACTTTCTACTAATTCAAGATGTGAAAATTAAAATCAATGCCACGTAATTCATTGTGCAGCTAATGGGGGAGTGAGTGAAACTTTATTTAAATCCTGACAATGGTCCAAACTATTTATAAAAGGCCTATTATCGCTTAAATGGAAGACCACCAGAGTATGTTTTATGGTGAATACAGAGAACTAGGACAACACTGCACCACCACAGCATAATCTCCAGCCTGCAGAGCAGGATCCACCTTTAAACTTCCATTAGAAGGATCATGTCAGATCCAATCAACACAGATATCATCATCTGCAGGGATAAGCTGAGGAAGCACATGCATAATGACAAGATCACACATCCATATTTGTATGGGAGATTAAGAGCAAAAAGCAGTAGGAATTTGGAGCAGGGTAAAAAATTAGATTGCACTTTTACAGTCTATGTGGGTCTTTTTTTTTTTTTTTAATCTTAGATTCCCAAACCTCCTGTCCCCATTACATCTAGGCTCTTAAGCACAGCTATATGGACAGAGAGATATAAGCATAAGGTGGTGTAAAATGGATTACCTCACAGTGGAAAAGCAGTGGGGATGAACTGCGTGAGCCATGGGAAAAATGTGGATGTGGTAGGTTGGAGACTAAGCAAAGAAGGGTCATTAGGGAACGGTGGGACTAAGAGACCTTCCTCAACAATAATACCTTGTGTGCTGTAGGAGAGGGTGTTGGAAATGCAACCTTCATCAATAGTCTCGGACACCTCTGTGCTGCACATAAAATGTGCCGCACACATTTACACACAAACCCCTCCTGCTAATAACCAGCAGCAGCTCCCTACCACCATTCTTTCTATTTATAGACACTCTGTGCCCCATTTACAGGCACGAGGACACTGGATCTGTACAATAAAAAGAACATGAAGACATAATTTGTATACCACAGATCCCTATTAGCAGAGGGGGAAAAAGGAGCCAAGGACAGTGCAGAGAAAGGATCCATTTAGAAAATTCTGAAGCTGGCTGAAACTCCATTGAGATGTTGAGTCAAACAATTATTATTTACGCATGACAACAGACCCCGCGAGCCTCCGTGTCACGTCTGAATTAACTGAAATCTAATTCATGTGATCACATGCAGGGCAGAGTAAATCACAATCATATGGAACTAATAGTTTGATTAGGTCGAGGAAACAAAAAGAAAAACAACCGACACAACTCTCTCACAACGCAGTCTCTGCATGGTTTCACACAAGTGACAGCACAGACCATTAGCAGGAGCCAGAGGCACATGGGTCCTATAGTGTGTGCCACTGAAATAAGTAATTATTTCCTTCATTCATCCTCTCTGGAGGCTTGACATCACTCATATCCTGCTGCGTGTTTGCAGCCTGTTTGCATTAGGAAATGATATGACGAACTTCAAATAATGAGTTATTCACCATGTCCTTTATTATCCATCCAAAAAAAAAAAAAAAATCTTTCTAAGAAGAGGGGGAGCTCACTCTATTGGCTTTCTGAAGGGAAAAATTGGCTTGTAGTGTCTCAGACAGCCAACGCGAGGCACGGGGAGGTGGTGGCTGAGGAAGGAAAGGGGCCGGTCATTTATCACTTTTGTCAGTGCTGGTGGAAGAAGGAGGTGGGGCAGAGGGGCTTTCATATAAATTGAGTGTAGGTGGAATCAATGTGGCGTTGCTGGTCAGAGCAGGGAGGGGCGAAGGAGCCAGATCAATGCAGCTGGGAGTGACTGTTTGTTCCCACTGTTTATCTACCGTCATCTCAGGACGCGGCTGAAGGACAAGGAAATGCAGCTAGCAGCGCAATGTCTCTGATGGGACTTAAGATTCTGATGGGTCACCTTTCAGTCGCCAGACAGCACACAGAGGTGAAAGCCACATTCATGTATGTATCTGTGTGTGTGTGTGTGTGTGTGTGTACACGTGTGAACATTGAAAATTGGGAAATTCTAAGTGCGAGAGGCAAGTACAGATAATGGTACCTGTCAGAGTGTTTCATGCTGCAGGGTCTGCCGATCAAATCAACTGCCTATTCAGCAGAGAAAACCAATTCAAAGCTTCACAGAAACTCTGACTAAAGCAAAACAGTTTTATTAAGACTTTTACACCTGCAGCAGAAGAGCAATAACAGATTTGCTGACCCGACGTGAACCACAGATGCTATCAAACCGCAACAATGCTCAAGGTATGATCGCAGATGTGTAACAGAATACAATCACTCTAAAAATAAAACCTGCAGGCATGGTGAAAACTCTGGCTGCCACACCCATAAACACTATAAATGTCTAATTTACTCAATCAATCTTTGAAAAGACAAGTGAAAACATCACCTTTCCAGAGGCCACCCAGTGAATTCACAGGTATTATCATTCCTGGAGGAGCCCTGCTTCTCCTCTTCACGGCCCCTCCCCCTTCCTCCCTCCTCCAGCTTTCCATCTTTCATGTCCAGATAAGAAACGGCCCGCACAGATCCCACTGTGATTCTCGTAGCAGAATTGCATCCCCATGGGAAAACAATAGTGTGGAAGAATAGCTGACACAAGTGATGAGATTCTGTTTAGCTGCCCATGTTTTTGCCTGCCAGACCAAGCAGATATCATTTTTCCTACAGCATGAAAACACTTCCATAGCCATAAACTTGCCTTTAAAATCCAACTGAGAGTGACAGATAAATGGACAGAGGTGAGGATGTTCTCGGAGGGCCTTGTACTGTATATTTAACAAAAACAAACAGTACATGCTTTACAAATGCTCCAACCTGGTAGTTGCGATAAAAAAAGAATTAAAAAAACCAAACAAACTCAAACCACAGAGAACTGCCCAGTCTCCCGATTATCCAACTGCCAGAGAATAAGTACTTTGTAAGTAGTTTGGCCTACTAATACATTCTATTACAAATACTGTGTTATTTCTGAGAGAGAAACTCTTCTTTGGTTTTTATACTCTCCTTTTCTGTTTTCATGCCTGGTCTTGAGAACACAGCCAACGCTGTGCTATCATAGCATTATGCACCCACTGAGCACTGGTTTCAGTTACTCAGTTATAACACTGGCTCGTCTAAAAATAACAGAAGTGAAATGATAAGAACTTTTGTGCTGCAGTTATGGTTCTTATAATGGACAATAAATGATGTCCAAGGCTCATGTATCAATTAATTTATTCATTAAAAATGGACTTGCCAGTTTTAAAGTCCAACAGCATCTACATTTTATTATCATTTTTCAGTTTGACATTATGTTCTATCCAAAAAGCTCTAGAATACATTATTGAGTCAATGACAATTGATTTTATTAAACATTCAGTGAGAAGTTACTTCAGGGTGAAGGGTGGCCAGGTGTAAGATTCGTAAAAAAAACCACTATTCCATTCAACATTCTTAGGGCAGAAAAATGATTTAGTTCAATAAAAGTGAATTGAGAACCTATTACATCCAATAACTGTGAATGCAGCAAAGAAATAAGGACCAAAAAATGTATATCATTGGTTGTAGTACAGCGTGGTCCGTCATTAAGAGCTGAACTTTCGTGTCACATAGTGATGAGTAGGTTCAACACAGGGAGCTGGAGACAGAAAGTGACATCTCTGCACTAAAAGACAGCAAATACCACTAAGGGCCTTGTAGCAGCTCTGACAACTCTACAGGGCTTCACTGCTGAAAGATGGGAAGGCAGCGTTTGACAACAGTTGCCTAGGTGATTAACCAGTCTCGGTTTTACAGCAGAACGGCAAGAAGAAAGAGTAAACTGTTAGATAAACTGACGTAGAATCTCAGCTGCTGTTTGTCTGTAAATGTGTGACAGGATAAAAAACACTAAGAGACGTTTACACACCAGGAGACAAAAATACCAGTAATCTGCACCACTTTGGTATGGTAAATAAAATAAAAAAAGATTGCGTGGCAACCTGCTGCAGTTTGACATAAAACACTGACTCGGAGATAATTATAATTTGGTCAGACAGTTTGAGGCTGAAAACTGAGACTCAAAGTTAACAATGAAATGGCTGAAGTGCTTTAAATCTGCACTCTATGAAACATGACAGGTATTGTGCTCTCATCTGTAGAACTTTGACAGGAAATACTCACAATATTCTGGAGAAAAATGACATATGACATATTCTTAACCACCTGAGAGGATAGATGTGGAAGGACACACTGAAGAACTCCTGACATCTCAGGGTCACCTAAACCCACAAAACACAAATGACACAAATCACAATTTTTCTTGTGTCATTTCCAAGAAAATAACTATTTAAAAGACACACCTAAAATATTCCACTTTACAACCCACTAAAACAAGAATATCTAAGAATCTTAAGTTGAGTACGCTGAACGACATGACCCATTCGGTAGAAAGATAAAATGACAGACTGAACGTATAATAAAATTATAATTTTTCCATGCACTTATATGCACTCTACTCAAAATAGATCTGCAAACCCACGCTCAGGAAGTAGACTGGAATTGCAACCAGTAAGAGTGTCATCACTAGTGATGGCGTTGTGAGATTCACACATCAATTGGGATTAAAATGTTGTGATTCACCTACTTCCTGTCCTAAGTAGAAGGTCCGTGAAGTCCAGGTCCACCATCAACTCTTCCACGACGTCCCCTTTAAGCTCCCCAAAATAAACAGAGCTCTGCCACAGCACACTGTTATTGCTTTCACAGCTTTAGTCCTCACTCTTGAGGCTCCTTGCCTGAGTGCTATAACTTTTCCTGGCTGGTCTGCCTCCCCCTCCTCTGTTGTCATCCTGGACCAGAGGGTGAGGCATGTGTAGGTGTCACAAAGCTGACAGGTCTATCTGGCTTCTGTCTACTGTGCTGGCTCTTCCCATTTCCCCTCTTCACTGCCACCTCTACAGCTGCTGTGCATCGTAGCATGACACCACACACACTCACACACACACGCACCCACGTATTGGTTTACAGATGAGGGTACCAGAAGAATGTGCACGCAGTAAAACCTTCATTTGGCTGCGTGCCACTTTACAGCATCACATACACACCCGGTATGTGTAAATGCACGTGCTGTGGAGTTTACACTTCTAGTCTTCGTGGTGACTCAAGTTATCTATTAAATTAGAAATCTGCTTTTGGTAACCCAAAATCAATCGTTTTTGTATCTTACAAAAACTGTATCATTAGCGCCACTTAAGCTTCTTCTCAAAATCAATGTAAAACAAACAGAAAACAGAACTTGATGATTTTTTAAGTGGCATTACCACGCCCCATACTGCAGTAGTCCTGCACGCTATACTTTCAAATGGAGCAAATACATCCTTGATGATCTGCATGATCCACGTGCCGCACATTTTCCCCACTTTTGTTTGACTAGAAAAGCCACGAAAGTGTACAAGTCTTGTGTCTGAATTTTGTCAGACTGTAGGATTATAACTCTGTCGTCTGTATCACCACAGAAAATCAAGAAAGGAAATGTAGAGGACTTAAAACAGAGCAGCGTTGCTAACCTCAAACATGCAGGACTACAACCCCAGGTTTTCCTTTCGGTGTTGAAAAGAGTCTTGACATGGTAACGACCAGCTGTCAGACTGGATTGTAGATGGTTTTGGTCTGTGATGCAGGGGTCCAATGGCGGTTGAATCGATCATACTTTGGTTAATTAATTGATTCCTCTGCCATGACTGTATGAAGGGACAGTACTCCAATGAAATCACACAGACTGTGGTTCAGGCACACGACGCCACCATACACCCAGTGTTCCACATTTGTCATTTGATACGCCTATTAGCCATTTGTTCACTAGTGGAGAATAACAGCTGTTTCCTTATTTCCTTCTCTCTCTCTAACACACACACACACACAAACACACACAGGGTTTAGTAACAGGTGTTGCCACGGAAGTGGGGGTCGGATGATGTAAGCTGATCTGCCCATGAAGACCCTCTCCATCGCCACTTTTGCCAAATCATTCACAAAAAGCAAACCTTTCAACTTGCAATCGGTGCGGCAGATCAATACGCCCTAGCCCGAGGATACGAGGCTCTAAAGCCAACTAACAGGAAGGGAGGGGTTCCATATTGATCACAAAGGGTTAATTAGGGCTTTGTGCTTGCTACGCTTTTTTGGGGACTGAAAACTCAGTCAGCTAATGGATACAAATTGGCAACACACCTACTTGACTGCAGCTGTGGAATTTAATGCAACTGTTCAAAAGGTCATGGCCTTGGTTTTGGATCACGTTGGTGAAGGTGAACCAGGTCTGCATGAAATCATAACAAATGTTCTTCTGTCATGGAGGACCATAAAGCCACAGTGAACCAACACTAACCTACACACCTGGAAAAAACAATCAAACCATTAAATCATTTATTTGTGTTGCAAGTGAAAATGCTCTGTCCAACAAGGTTGAGGATGCCATGACACCGCTGCTCCAGTATCAATTATTCATCAGCACCCTTTCTAATCCTTTAATTATACATCAATGTTGAAAAAACAACGGCTGGGGACGATCACTGTGCTGCTGCTGACAAAGGCCATGACAATGAAACCGGATGGGGGGAGCTTAAGCCTTTAGGTAAGGAGATGGAAGACGACGGAAGCAAAAAGGGCCTTCGGGCTGCCTCTCCCTGCCGTCGAGATGTCATTTATGATGTGTTCACCTCACCCACCATGTGATCAGAGATCAGAGGGTTAACTGAAACTCTGGCCTATAGCCCCTGTGCTTACATTATTCAACAGCTTGTTACAACAGCCTGTTCCCTTATCTCACACACTGGGAGACAGAGCTGGAAACTCCAGGGAAGAGAATTCAGGGGCCAAAAAGCCAGATTAAGAAAAAGATGACAGAGAGGCCATAAGGCTGGAGAGAAGAAAGACAGGAGAGAAGGAAGGGAAAACCCCCGGGATGTGAAGGGGCTGGGGGGGCGGTAAGGTGTGGAAAAAGGAGAGGCGGGTTAGAGGGGAGAAAAGACGTATTGAGAAAAGGATGAAAAAGTGGTGAAAGGCAGTCGGAGCACAGGTGGAGAGATGAGGACGGCCGTGCGTCCCAATCTGTCTGTTGCATGAGATGACAGCTAAGACTAACTAAAACTGGATCTTTAACCTTTGAATTGCTAAGCTGTAATTTTGCAACTTTTGGTTTGAGTCCACCGGAGACTTAAACAACATTTAAAAAATGTTTTGTTCCTCTTCATGGCAGTGTCAGAACAAACGGTACAGTCTATTTATCTGAAAAATGATGAAACGCAACAGTGACTGGAGCGGGTTTGTGCTTTTTTAACGAAAATGTCCAAATTCATCTTTCTCTTTGGCTCCATGTCATCAATAACCGGCATATTTTTCTGGGTGGTGTTTTTCGGCCGTATCTGCAAGCCCCATACTCTGAAACAGATAACAGATACACACTCGCATACGTGGAAAACAACAAAGCATAGCAACATCCATCAGAGGAGCGCTCATTTGACAGCAACCATGTTTTGGGAGCACCCTGTTTACAGCCCCAGCCTCACAACACTGCTCAGTGAGCGGGCTCCTTTGTTCATTAATTGATTGGCCTTGCCTGCTGGGCCACAGTAACTAGGTTACACAGATCTTTGAAAGGAAGAGGACTACATCCCTTCCACAAAAAGAGGGTAGATAGATAGATGCCTCCAGGCGAGGAATGCAAGTGTTAATATTACTAATGGAGTGAGGATGGCGGTAACTTTAGCGAAATCATACTCATCTAATAAAAGCGAGCGGCTGATGAGAGCATGGAGGAAGGTTGGATGTCTTTATGTAAGGCTGATGTCACTGCCGCATCAATTGAAAGAGGTGGGGCTGCTGAAAAGGTGAAGTGGAAGGGTGGGACAGAGGAAGGATGGGGAAAAGACAGCATGGTTATCATTATCCATGTGTCACAGGAAGGTCTCAGTTCAAGTCACGCTGACATGAACTTGTAAAACCCCATCAATTGCTCCTCATAAGTTCTTTTCCGCCAACAAAGGAAGCAGTGTTGGCCTTAAATACTGGAAGCAGGTTACGGAGAGGGCAGGAGGTCGCTGGGAAGAAAGAAAAAAAAAAAAATCAAGCAGAGACATAACAGACATTTACTGCAACTGAAACATCACACATGGTGCTGTGTCACCGCAGATACAAGACATAAATGGAACACGATGTCTCAACTATGGTAATAAATAAATACACTGCACTGTGTATACTTGCTTTGAAAATCAACACTGACAATTCTCTTCTTTTGGAGCATATTACAGGCCACAATGTTTCAATATTTGAATGCTTGATTGAATTACAGAACTAGAGCCTATTTCCAGACTGAACTGGGTAAGTACGACTTCTGAGAACTAAATCCTGTTTTGTCAATGTGGTCAAAAAATATTTTGTCAATTTGATTTGGGTCAACAACAAAACAGCTCAGTCTAGAACGCAGGGCAGAAAAATGTTAGAATGGCACTGTTTCACCAACAACAAAACCACTACATCCCATGAAACCAAAGCCACTGAGTTAATGTCTTTGTAACAAGTGGTTAGAGATGTGTCTAGACGAACCCTGTGTTGAATGTTCTTTTCACCGATAACATTAAAATGAATATGACAATTAAAAGGAAATTAGCATTTCAAACTTAATAAACCCCATCTCTGCCAAAGGACCACCATGTTTTAAACCGAGCGTCACTTAGGTGTAAAAACCTCCCTGCAAACAGTCTGACATTAAAACTCCTCCAATAACAGAGATGGAGACAAGCTGTTCACACCCTGTCTGCCCAGACACAACAGCTGAACCAATGGAGGATCTGCATCTGCCGTGCATACTTCTGTTTCCACCACACAGTCTGTCTCTCAGGTGACAGGTCTGGGTCCGTCCACTATCAGAGATAGACAGGATCCGGTCGGCTTGTAAGCAATTGTGTAATTGCTGGTCAATATAGGGGAGGAGCTCAGTGGTTATCCTTGGCAATGGGTCAGAATCCAACACAAAAAAAAATCAAACAACACCTTGGGCAGCCATTAAAGAAAAACACTACTAGTGCATGACTCTGCAGAAATTTCTGCTGGCATAGTACTTCTTAAACTAAGTGGCGTGTGACAGCATGCAACATAAACTTAATATATTATTTGATCCTTCTACCCCTGAGCAATTGAGTCATAATGCATTACCAGCTCCACTGAGGCTGAAGACCCTGAGAGGCAAAACAGTTGACCAATCATCAGAAGTTCCAGCTTC